GGGGGGGAGCATCAGTCAGCGGGACTGATCAGGGCGCACACAGATCCTGAATAAAAATGTAAAAACAGTGCCTTTTAAATACCCCCACTGCTGACAATGAGGTTTAAAGGCACTACAATGTGTCAGAATGGAGAGAACCTGGTGCATTCACCATCCAGAATGAGAATATGGATAAAAAAATTCCAAAGATGGTGTCGGCTTTCTGAAAATAAATGAACCCCTTTTCAGTACACGATGTGGTGGTGCAGGGGTTTATTGGATTACTCTGGTTCTGCTGGCTGGAAGCAGTGCTTTTATATTTTTGGGCTGCAAAAAACAGTACTAGAAAAAAAACAAACAAAGAAAAAAAAAACAGGTTCCAACTCAAGTAAAAGTTTGGGAAACCCTGATGTAGCCAGCTTTCTATCCATCTTACAGTCCATTATCCAATCTATATTCTCTTAACTTGCTGGTAAGAATATTGTGGGTGGCCATATCAAAAGCTTTGCTAAAGCTGGCACTGGAGGCTTTGGGAGGACCAGAAACAACTTATTTGCATATTCATCATTTGCTTAATGAATATGCAAACGAATGTTACCGGTCCTCTCAAAGCTCGTGAATGGATTTACTGGTCCCCGTGACAAAAAGTTTGGGAACCCCTGCACTAATGCATTATTGTTTGTGACTAGTTGAAGAAAACACCATGTAAATTTCAACATAAATCATTAAAAATAAAACTATTAAACAGTAGGAGAAACACTAATAAAAATCTGATATTTTAGAGGTTTCATTCCTCACAATTGAAGAAACAATGACTTTTTTATAATAGGAATGTTACTAGAGGTAATTTAATGCTCTCTGAAGATGGAAGATGTCAATTCAGAATGTTATTTCTATTTCTTCAAGGAAGTATTTTATTTCCATCAAGACTCAATGTTTCTCTTTGAAGCTCAAATTCAACCTCTTTTTTGCCTCACAATCTGTATCTAGTCCAGATGATCCTCTCTCAAGACAATAAGATTTCTTGGTCTGATCTAATAGCAAAGCACTTGTGTATGTACTGAAGTAAAAACAACACACTCAAAACATCAAAGTACACGCACTAACAGGATATCAGAGGTTGACTCAATCTGGTCTAGGAAACAATCTTCTTCATTAATAATGATTCTTTCTATTATTTTTTTTTAAACCCTGGCAGCTCAAATATGAACTGAAATTTAGGATTTGTTAAAAAAAATAAAAAGAAAAAGCTTTTACAAAACTTAAAACCTTTAAAAAATTATTTTGGCATCTTAACATACATTCCATTACAGCACATTGTAGCATTGTGTCAGTACATGACAGCCTGAAACTAACCTCAGATTACAAACTGAAATTAAACTAACAAGTGCATTTGTATTGTTCAAACTAGGAACAAAAGAAAAAAATAGATTAGGAAAAAAAGCTTTTAAAATTGTTTTTAGTTTTTAAATTGTACTCTCAAAGGGTGAAATAAATTTATATGTTACTGTGGCACCTGATATTTTGCAGCCTGGAGAGTGACAGATACACATAGCCACTTCCTATTATTTACAACATATAATTTGTCAGAGATTTTTTCTGTCCCAAATATTATAAGAATCTGGTGGTTTTTTTATCTTCACATAAATAATGAGAACAATATTTTTAAAAGATTGTGGCACTGGCAGCCAATGGTATTAGATGTGAGGTAACCCAAACCAACCAATAGTTAAATTTCTCACATAACACTCTGGAAATAATTATGCACATAAGGAATCTTACAGGCTCAGTGTGACTCCTTGCATGTGTGTGTAGTTATTCATATGCATAGGACTGGAGCTAAGCAACCATGTTTTGTAACATCACAACCCCTGAGATGGAGCAAAATATCAACTTTACACTGGATGTTTGACAACTTGGAAGTAAACAGACAGGCACATTTCCATCTACAACAGGGGTGGGCAACCTTTCAGAAGTGGTATGCCAAGATTTAACTTTCACCTGCCTCTCCCATCCTGACTCCACATCCTCCTTCACCCCCCTCCTAAGCCCATATCCCTGTGCCCCCAGCACACACACCAGCAGGGAAGTAGTGCGGGGACTCGCAGCCACCTGGGAGCAACTCTGGGGTGAGGAGGGTTGGGGTAGTCACTTTCCTGCTTGGCCCAGCCCTTTGCATGGGGCTTACCCCTCACCTGCAGACTGCAGCTCCGGGGCTGGGGCAGTCAGAGTCTGGAGCTGCTCAGGGCTTTTTCCAGGCTCTGACTGGGAGCAGCAGGGCACTAGGGAAGGATCTTCCCACCCACAGGGAGAAGCCAGAGCTTAGCCTGGGCCCTGGCACCCCTCGGAGGCAGCAGCAGCGTGTGACTAACTGCACCATCTTGATCTGCAAGTAGCTCTAAATGCCAATTGTACCCAAGCCATAAACATGGTTTACCAACAAGGTCTGACTCTGTTGAAGCGGGCTGTTCCCAGGAAAGCTCATGATACCATCTACACCAGGGGTTCCTGCCATGGCGCCTGCCAGGGCATTTATGTGCACCCGCCGAAACATCTGGGCTGGCCCCGCCCCTGGCGCGTGGCACATGTGCAGTGCCGGCCCCAGGCTCAGGGCGGCCCCCACCCCCTGCGTGTGGCACATGCGCGGTGCCGGCCCTGGGCTCAGGGCACATGAGTAGCTCCCACCCCCAGGCGCACGGTACATGCGTGGCCCAACCCCTGGAAGCGCGGCGCATGAGTGGCCCTGCCCCCAGACGGCCGGCAGCCACGAAAGCTTGGGGACCACTGCCCTACACCATGCTGTGCATGCCACAAAAAATCATCTTGCATGCCACTTACGGCATGTGTCCCGTATGCTGCTGACCTCTGATCTAGAAGTATTTTGCTCATTACTCATCTGAAGAAATGGGTTGTGCCCACAAAAGCTAATGATACTAAACTACAAAAAAAATGTATGAAAGGTGCAACAGCAAGTGTGGGGAACCTTTTTTGGGGAGAGTAATTGACCCACAGAAATGTCAGTCACTGGCCCCTGACTGAGAAGGAGAATGACATTCCCCTCACCCACCAGAGACTACGGGGGCCCAGGCAAGTGGATTTTGTGTGCTTCAACCCCACAGAAAATGGCAGGGGGAGGGAGACAACGGCTAGAGTACCAGCATGGGCTCCCCAAAGCTGAGTGTAAGCCCCGAAGTCCAGATCCAGGCAAGCCAAAAGCTATCCCCGGGCATTAGGTTCCCCATCCCCTGTGCTACAGGACCCTCATTTATTTATTTTTAAGTTACCCTCTAAGACCTTTTTGCTCATTATACACACCCATAAAAACTAAAAGCAACTCACTGGGCACAAAATATGTAAAAAAACAAAACAAAAAACCAAATAACCAGTGAGTTCTTAATAAAGTGTGTTTGCCTGATTTAGGGCATTAGATGCTTTTCTTTTGATTTCCTAAATCAATTACATTTATTTTCTTTTTATTGGTAATAGTGAAAGGTACTAGACTCAAGTGAAATTGAAGGACCATAGCTCAAGCTTTTCCCTATTCCCTTAATAATATGTTACGATGCTTCTCTGAAAGAACAGACTCATACTCAGTTTTGATAGCAGTGCCAAAGAACAAACATTAAAGAGACCCACTTGTGCCAGTACTTGGCTTATAATGGCAGTGTTTGTAATACAACTACCAATCATCAGGCCTTGGCTTGAGATTCCCAATCATTTCACATATACTACTGAATAGTCTTATGATGTCATTGTCACGCTCAATTGAATTCAAACCAATGGCCTGATGTGGTTGAATGAATGGTAGGCTTCTTACAAGTAATCCATTTAGATTATAAATTCACTTTATCAGCAAAAATCAAGAGTTTAAGGACCACTCCTGATTTAAAAAAAAAAAAAAAAAAAGTCAGAATTTCATTCACATGTATTCCCCTTCTCCCTTCATTCGTAATACACTAATTTAATTATACTTCTAGATGTTCAATTCACAAATACCAAGACTTCAGTACTCACCCAACTAAGCCAACATCTGCTATAAGTTTGAAATCAAGATGAACTGTTTGTATCTGGCCTTTCAAAGGCAAGAAATTTGTAACCAAACAGCCACCCAGTCCTCCACGAGCTACCAGTATTCTGTCTCCTGCTTTATTAAGTTCTCCTGAAAAATAAAATCAGAGATTCTCAAACACCACAGACTCTGTCAGTGAAAAGTGGAGAATTTGCACTAGCTTCTGTATGAACTTAGACTGTTACAGGTGTCTTTGTTGAGAATCAGATGTCTTGCAACAAAATTTCAACACCTACAATCAAATAATTACATTAGGTAGAGCTTCTCTTTGGAATTATTATTACTGGAAAAGGAAAACACATTATGGTCAAAATGGTAGTTCCCACTTTCTTTTTGGAATCACATATTTGTTAGTTACACTAATCACATGTAAGCTCAATATAACTTATCTCCCAAAGTATTACTTTAAGTGCTCAACATGGTCATATTGATTTTTTTTATCTGGAAGTGGGTTAAGTCAAGAAAAGCTGTGCACATCAATTGGTTGGAGATTTTTAGTCACAGCTTATAATAGCTTATTAATTAAAACACATAGTCTGTTATAATCAGGGCTCTCCAAACCGCGGTGAGCCCTGCTTGCCAGCTGCGCTGTCCGGCGATCTGCGCATGCACAGATCGCCCAAACCCAGCTCTTCTGGGTGGGTTGCAATGCGAGTAGATTGCATTATTTGTCGAGCCTGGTTATGATCACCAAATTCATTAGATGTTATAGGTACTTCCAATATGATCCCTGCTGTGATGCCTCCACCAATTATTACTATAATTTAGAACTGCAGTTAAAAAACATTAACATAAAAATATAATGTATAAAAAATTTGCACACACCACCTGACCTGTATCATGCTTTAAACCTGCTTAAGACTTAACCAAAGTAAAAATCACTTTTTAATTAAAAAAAAATTCTGAAAACTATGAAAGAGTGCTCTGTAATTTCAAGATTACAGGTTGAGAGAGTGTAAGACTCCATCAATGACCCTGATAATCTGTACAATTTGTGAGATCTAGATACAAACCTTAAACATATTTTTTTTAAATCATTATCTTGGGTAAAACCCTGAAATGTTGAAATCTGGCCAGTGTTATTGTTCAAATAACTAAATTACAAAGTGGACAAGTTAACATTTATTAACTATTCCTGAGGAATCTCCCAGTCCTACACTGCAACTACATTCCCAGGAGCAGTCAGTCTGGACCAGAGTGTATAGAAGAAGACAGATGGTAGGGCAGAGTGGAGGTGGGAAGGCAGAGAAGGAAGAAGGTGTCTCAGTGCACTGCTCCTATTTGCAAACATCATACCCCATAGCTCTCTCATTGGCCAGGAGCAGGAAACTGAAGCCAACGGGAGCTGTCAAAGATGGTGCCAGCAGAGAGGGGCAGCACATGGAGCCACATAAGCCCCTGTGGCCCTTGAGTTGGGGGTGTTGGCTCCAGGAGTGGCATGTAGAGCACTATGCAGATACAAATGTCTATCCACTGATCTGCAGATGCTGTGGCTGAAGGCAAGGAACATGTTGCACTGCTCCCAGGAGCCAGTACTCTGCGTTGGCAGCTCCTCCCTGACATACAGCTGTACCGTCCCCCAGCCTCACTGCCAGCTGCATCTCTTGTTCAGGGGTCGTAAAGTCACACTAGCAGTGAGGCTGGGGAGAGGAGCTGCTGGAACCGGTTTCTGGCTCCTGAGAGTGGCAGCACCACACTTCTCTCCTTTGACCACAGCATCTCCTGGGAGAAAAGCCCTGTGGATCAGCAGATACTGATGTAGGTCCATAAGTAGACATTTGTACATGTGCAGGGCTCTAGCATGGGGCCAGAGCAGGCAGCTAGCCTGCCTCAGACCCTCTGCTGACCTAGATATGCAGGTGGTAAGCACCCCTTTCTTAACCTAACCTCCAGAGCCAGCACCCCCACTCTGACTCTCCAACCAGCACCCCATATCCCCTCCTGCATCACAAGCCTGTGACTCAGCCTGACATACCCTCCCAGAACCTCAAATCCCCACCCCAACTTAAGTCCCCTCTCAGAAACAACACCCCAAACCCCTTCCTGCACCTCAAACACCTGACCCATCTTTGACCCCCCACCCACCCAGAGCTAGCACATATACCAACTCCTACACCCTTTCACCTCACCCCAGTAAAAGTGAGTAAGGGTGGGGGCAGGCGAGTGACAGCAGAGATTTGTGTGTAGTGAGCCAGGTGGAATCTTGGGGAAGGGACAGGGTAGATCTTGGGTTGCCCTTAAATTTTAAAAGTGATCTCACGCACAAAAAGGCTGGGGGACCACGGTTTCAAATCTCATTGGGAGAACATGATCCTAGCATTGTAGCTAGTGATAGAAGTTATGATCAAGCAACCTCCATCATCAGAATTCTCACATGTGATTAAGACTCGGCACACTTGTCTGAACAAATCAATCCCTTACCAATCTTTTCCCCATCACAGGAAAGAACTGAAATTCCCGGAGGCACCACAACTTCACAATCTCTTCCTTTTTCACCTTTCAGTGCACGAACACTAGAAAAAGTTAGAGACTGTTTAAAAACTCCTACCAGGCGTTGTTTTTCCTTCCAGGTGAAAGGTGCTCAACAAGAACAATCAGGACAAAATACACCCTTACCTACTGGGGGCTCCTACTCCGGCTACAAACCGCTTATGGGGACATTGGTCTTTAATTCTCTTTAAGGTAGTCTTTTCCTGGGCGACAAGCCAGACGTCTCCGCCTCTCCCTCCTTCGCCACCCAAGCGCTACCAGGCGTTGTTTTTCCTTCCAGGTGAAAGGTGCTCAACAAGAACAATCAGGACAAAATACACCCTTACCTACTGGGGGCTCCTACTCCGGCTACAAACCGCTTATGGGGACATTGGTCTTTAATTCTCTTTAAGGTAGTCTTTTCCTGGGCGACAAGCCAGACGTCTCCGCCTCTCCCTCCTTCGCCACCCAAGCGAGGATGCCCCATTCCACCAGTTCCTCCTTTCACGTAGATCCTGAGACTATCCATGA